TAGAACATTTGCTGTAATTCAAGTCATAGAAGGTTTGCTAGTATCAGAACTGATCACCAGTCTCAAATGCCAAGAAGGTTTCATGGACAACACAGTCCATAAGTCTTTAAAGGGCTTGGAGAGCAGTGAGGTGTGGCAGATGTTTGAATTTCTCCAGAACCCTTGGATAGTCTCTGTGCTGAGAATGTGCTGTTTTTGTGTCAGCATGTTAGTGACTTTTCCTCATTTAGACGTATTTCAGAAGTGGTGAGATCATCCTAAAGAGCAAGTCACTTGCTTAAAGAGCACAGAGCATAGATCTGAGTAGGTCTTTGAGCTTTGAGATCATGCTTCAAATCAGTTTCCCGTTGACTGGCAGAAGGGAAGGAAGGCTTCTTTCTTAAAATGACTTAAAAGAAAAAAAAATAAACATAGGGAGTTTTTATCGTTAGCTCACTTTCTCTCCTTGAACTGGAGTGAACTACTATTTCAAATCTCCATTCCATCTAAACCTTTTATAATGTGGGTTTTGACAGTGCAGGCAAATGAAAACTTACAACTCTTCTTAAAGAGGGCATGACTTTTCATGTTGGTAGGGTTTCCAGCAAGTTACTTCTAGATTAAATTACCTAATACTCTTTCATAAATTTCCAATTAACCTGAAAAGGGGAGCAACTAATTTTTCAAGCCACAAACTGTTGCAGAATTTCAACAGAAGCTTTGTATCTGGCAGGAATCCAGGAGTGATGGCACCCAAGCTTTGAAGTAGCTTTTTGTCGGTGATTGTTATCTGAGATTTTAGAGGTTATTCTTTTGAAGGTTTCTCAGCATCTTTGTACCTTAGTCCAGAGACAGGCCTGAAAAATCAGGAAGTCTCCAATGGCCAAGAATTGCTTAGGTGATGGATCTTTCAAGATAGCCCTTAGATCAGACACGAAGTTTTGGTATACAGAACTCCACTTGCTAAAAGATGCCTTTGGTGTAACAGTGACCCTGCTTACAAGATGTGCAGAAACTGAAGAAATGTCAAACCATGCCTAGCCCAACCTAAGACCCACCCCATAGAAGAGAGCAGCCCCTGACACTATTTAGGATATTCTGCTATGTTTGCAGATAAGAGCACAACATGGCTGTCCTTTGAGAGGCTCCACCCAACATCAGATCAAAACAGATGCTGAGACTCACAGCCAAAGATTGGGTGAAGTGTACATAGGGAGTCTTGTGGAAAAGTGGGGGGGGGGAGGATAGAAAGACCTGAAGGTGACAGGAGCTTCACAAGAAGACCAATAGAGCCAACTAACCGGGGCCCAGAGTGGCTTGAGGAGACTGAAGGAACAACCAAGAACCATGCATAGACTGGACCTTGGCTCCCTACACAGATGTAGCAGATGGGCAGTTCAGGCTTCATGTGGGTGCCCTAACAAGAGGAGCAACTTTCTGATACATGCTTTTTGATAGCACTGCCCACTGATGGGACTGCCTCGCCAGGCTTCAGGGAAAGAGGACACACTCGGCCTTGATGGGACTTGATGAACTGGGGTGGGTAGTTGGGGGCTGCTCTTTGGGGAAGAGGGAGGGAGAATTGGATCTGGAGGAGAGAAGAGAGGGGACTACAAGCAGGATGTAAAGTGAATAAATAAATTTTAAAAAAGAGTTTCAAGGAGGCTATTGGGGTTTAGTCCTTCAGAGGCTGTCCCCCTATTGCTTGAGAAGCCTAAATTCATCCCATAGCGGCTATCTTTCTTCCATGACCGTAATGCAGAACTCCCCTACCAATAGTAAACCTTTATATTTTTGACAGAATCTATAGAGAGCAAAGTTGGCATCTTCTTTCTTGTGTTTAGATTCAAAGTGTTGACTTTTGTCACAGTCCCCAGCTATGTCTCATCCCAACCCCAATAAAGCAAAAGTCTGGGCTCATTTCCTGCAATAAGTAATCATTTAATTAAAGAACAAAATTAACAGGAATCAAAATGTTGGAGCTGTATTTTTTTTTTGTTAGACATCATATAAAAAAGAGAAAGTATAGTACAGTAAATCACTCTATAACATGAACTTAGTCTTCAAATCATCAGGATAAAAATGTCTTTTCAACAAAATACTGAATGACACTGGGTCACATGCCCCTCGTGGCGGAGGCTGGGAGTGTGAGCCTGCACATGCATGTCGCCCATCCTCCATGACGCTGCAAAACTGTAAAACAAGGTTGAAGGCAAACAAGTTTTCTTCTGGGAGAGTTACTCTGGGCCTAAAGGGACCCCAACAGTTCACACTCCTCAGACACCAAAGAAGGGGGCGTGTCCTCTGGGTTGCTCCTCTGGTAGGTGAGTCCTCCTTGGGATTTCAGGATTGCGCCTGCCTCAGTTGAATTCTCCTCTTCTCACAAACACAGCAGTTAGTCTTGAGGAAAGTTCCCTGATGAATGTTCAGTGTTGGTATCAAAAATTAAACACAAATTCTTCTCAGAAGAAAATCTCTATGGCCTGTGAAATCTAGAAATGATGTTTTAGAAATTAGACATTTCTAATAGTTAAAACTGCCCCCCCCCAAAAAAAAAAACTTCCCACAAACAAATTTAGTGATATTCAGCATTTCTCAAGTTTATATATATATATAGGACTTTAAAGAGGGAGTTGCTGTGGCTGAATAGCCTCAAAGAGCTATGTATGACTCAAAGGAAGCCCCGTGAGAGCTGCTGGTGAGGTGGTCAGCATACCCAGAAGCTCTGGGACTTGGCCTGGGTGGCCAGATCTTATTGACAATATCTTCTTCGGATTATTTAACAAGTTCATAACAATCCTTAATGCATTCAAAAGAACTACGTAGGACTGAAATACAGTGCTGACTTTGTAAAGCTGCCATGATGTGCTCAACCTGAATTATTTCCTCGTGTTTAGGGTTTGGGGGCTCATTCTTTAAAATTCTGTCATCGAAGATGCTACCAAGAATTTATAGAATTTATAAAAACAAAGGTTGATTGCCATACACAGGACTGTCTACTTCTTTATAATAAAATTAGCATTAAAATGACCCCAGGTAAGATGATCAATCCTCACTCAGAAAGGCAAATGGGGTGGACATCGGAAGAGGGAGAAAATAGGAAACAGTACAGGAGCCTACTACAGAGGGCCACTGAATGACACTTCCCAGCAGGGTATTAAAACAGATGCTGAGGCTTAGAGCCAAACTTTGGGCAGAGTGCAGGGAATCTTATGAAAGAAGGGGGATATAGAAAGACCTGGAGGGGACAGGAGCTCCACAAGGAGAGCAACAGAACCAAGAAATCTGAGCCCAGGGGTCTTTTCTGAGACTGATATTCTAACCAAGGACCATGCATGGAGATAACCTAGAACCCCTGCACAGATATAACCCATGGCAGCTCAGTGTCCAAGTGGGTTCCCTAATAAGGGGAACAGGGGTTGTCTCTGACATGAACTCAGGGGATGGCTCTTTGATCACCTCCTCCTGGTGGGGGATCAGCCTTACCAGGCCACAGAGAAGACAATGCAGCCAGTCCTGATGAGACCTGATAGACTAGGGTCAGATGGAATGGGAAGTCCCCTATCAGTGGACTTGGAGAGGGGCATAGGAGGAGATGAGGAAGGGTGGGGATTGGGAGGGCATGAGGAAGGGGGCTTCAGCTGGGACTCAAAGTGAATAAAATGTAATTTACATTAAAAAATATCATCCCCAAATTATAAATAAAAATTGTTGTTAGGATTAAAGAAAAATGTGTTTTACAGAAGAATTTCATTTTCTAAATTTACATTAAGAAGTATAAGAGGTAACCTGTCAAGTACAAGAGGAAACTTTACAATTTCTGTTTGCATAATTCCCTTCTTTCCTTAAAACCCTAACACAAATGGGGAGTGGGGAGCTGTAATTCATAGTTATCTTCTGTTCCATAGCTACAGTCGACTTGCATAGCAAATCTTTTAAGTAAGTGCAGTGGCCACTTGGGATCCATCACAGCGGTTCACATGGCAATGTACAGAAGTAAGATCACTTTTCTTTTGTACTGGGGGCTTCAGAGCATCCTTTAAGGAAGAGGACAATGTAATTTGCCAGTGCCCTGCTGCCTCGACACTCAAGTCCCATTAGGGTTTACAGGCACATGAGGGCTTAGCCAGAGAAAAGGACTTCAAATGTGTACATAGCACAAGAAGAAAAGAAAGTTTTTTTCCAACTTCCGTGTAATAGGATGAGCATAAAATGTGTTGCTCAACCTGATGGGAGAAGTAGGGCAGAAGAGCCTGCTGACGGCCATCCATGCCGAGAAGGCTGGATGTATATTTCATGGTCCATCCCCACATCTGGAGTGCTACCTAGTATATTCTTAAATATATGCTGAAGAAATGAGTGGTTTGGTGGACAATGGCTTGTGTTAAAGGCTAAAGTCAATATAGGTAACGAATAGTGATTTCGCAGCAATCTCGATATAGTGGTAAATTCTATAAATTGATTTCTTTTATTATTGGAATTAAGTACCTAAGAAAATTTTGAGTTGAGACCAATTTTCTTAAACATAGCAACAATGTACCCTCATTTGCACCCCTCACCACCAATCCCTACTTAATGTTGGCTTTTTGAGGCGGGGCTAAGAGTAAAGCTACTTGCGGGTAGACCCATCATGCCACTCAAAGCTCACCTCGTCAAGTGCTTGCTGGATGCGTGCACCTCCATCTCATTACTTTTATACTCATTTAATTCTTTACGAATTGCTGCCTGGGATTTAAAAAGGACAAAGTTTCCAAGTTAAATCATCTCCTGTACATATTGTCAACCCTTAACCTGTGCTGACACTGTGATCAGTACTCAGAAGGGAATTAATCCGCTGTGCTGTAATGAGGCAGGCAACCCTTCTTACACCAA